ATAATACATAATTGATACATTTAATTGAACTTTGTTATTGTCCACTGGGCATTGCTTTGGGAAACCCTGCCACAGAAATTAGTTTGTCATTTCAATTAAATGTATCAATTATGTATTATTCTTCAATGATGTCAATTTTTAGTCTCCACAGAATAAAGCCTCAAGTTATTTCTGCCTTTGGAGAACTCTTATGCTCAAATATCACCTGAAACTTTGCTCTTTGCAGCATTGGCAATTATCTTCTGAACCTCTGGTAATGAAATAAACTTGCATCCAGAGGAAATATTGACATTTGCCTACTGTCATCCAACAACCACTGGAGACAATTCTGAACACTAGTCTTCTGCTTCCTCTCTTTTGTTATATCCCCTCGTAAACATGAAACAAGTGTCACTGTAATTTGTCATCTCATATTGAACATTCTCGACTAAGATTCTATTCAATAAGCAGCTTAGTGTTATTATAGCCAGAGATAGTACACAGCATTGCAACATCTCTGGGCAGTTTTAAACTTGCTGGATTTTACAGAATTGATTATGTCTGTTGATTATCATGATCATTCACAGAATTAAGGTGAGCAGCAGACATTCGCACTCAGTACTATAGAATGACAGAATGGTGTCACATGCCATTGGATGCAACATTAGCAGGGGTATCCATGCATGTTAATTAACATTGTGCTGTGAACTAACAGTGAGTTGAAAAGTATAGTTTAAAAGCACGTTCTTATCATTCAATAGAAAGAATAACCCAAATGAAGAATGAGATTGTTTCTACTGCTTGGCTATCCATAATAAATATTTAATAATATTGTTACATGTGTTATGCTATAATAATAGCTTTGTATTTCTTTATAAACAGGATCACATTTCTTAATACTCCAATTTGCCTGGAGCCCTCAGTACAGTACATCGTGGAGATTTACTTCAATTCGTCTCCTACTCCAAACAGTCAGTTCAGCAATCACATCTTGATTGATTCTGTAAGCAAAGTTAAATCTTCTTGTTGTTGCAATTTAGGGTGTATTCATAAAGTGGCAACATCATAGCACCAGTTATTTTCAATTCTGATGATGTTGAACACATTACCAAGAATCACAGATATCATGGTCTTGTGCTGCAGTGGTAGTGATCCTACCTCTGGGCTAAAAGATCAGGGATTGAGGCCAAACTTCAGGATGTGATGGCCATAGAGATGTGTGATAACTCATGTTGATTTTTTTTTTAAAGAGGCATCAATAACAGAAGGTGTCATTAGATGATACACACTGTAAAGTATTTGATACTTAATTAATTGAACTTTGTGGTTTTCACAGTATAATGGAGCACTTTGTTGATACTTAAAACAAACTCAGCTTTTAAGCTGAACTATTATATCATTATTACCAGAGATTCAAGGTTATCGTTTCATAAAACAAGGAAAAATTTCAGGTATTAAGCTTTGCAATCAAGAGACAATATTTGCCATGTGGTATTAATCAATAGGAAGAGCAAACTTGTGGATTCACATAAATTGCTTATCAACGTATCTAAAAATTGTACACCTCAAAACTGTTTTTGAATATTAATTGCATTTTTTGTGAACTTTATTACACTATCTACTTTATTTCCCATCCGAATTATAAACTAATAGACATGTCCACCAGTTTTACTTTTCATATTTAGTTATAGAAAAACAGTGTGTCATTAGAAACACCAATGTTGAATTTCCATTTAAAAAATTGTCTTTTGTCATTCTCAGGATAGTTGGTAGGTAGTGGCGAGGATTTGTGTGTCAAAAGTTGTTACTCACCAGAGAATGATCAGCCTCAGGCCTCCTCACATAACCATGGTATTTAAGTGATTATCTGGTTAAGTTTTTGATTGGTGATGGCCCTGAATATTGAGAATAGGGGATTCTAAAATAACATTAACATTGAATGTCATGAAGAGGTAGTTGGGTTCCATCTTGTTGGAAATGCAAATTGCCTGACATTCAGATATGGCGCCTGCTTGGCAGTTTAAGTTTGCATGTTGCCCAGGCTTGCTGCACAGCGAGCCTAGAATAATGTATTCCCCACATAATTGCTAAGAGGACCGGTTATCAACAAAGTACCCTGCCTGACTTTCTGGAGGCCAGGCCATTAATGAAGCAGCTAATGGTAGCTGGACCTAAGGCACCACCCTGAGTAACATTTCCAACAATGTGTACGGGCTGGGATGATTACAACCAGCTTCCTTGGAGATCGGCACACATTCAGCCACGGATAAATGTTAATCAAGGATTATTTACATTAGTGCCATAGGATTATTATTGTTAACCAGAATTGGTACACAGCAGCTTGCTAACAGTGGGAGATAGCAAGAACTGCAGATGCTGGAATCAGAGTCTAACATAGTGTGGAGCTGGAGGAATACGGCAGGCCAGGCAGCATCAGAGAAGTAGGAAAGTTGACGTTTCAAGTCAGGACCCTTCTCCAGAACTGGGCTTCTCCATGTTACATGGGAGTGTTGTAGTAGCCCCGTCTCCCACAGGCCTGCTGCACAAGTCACTGAGCACTTTTGGTGACTAATGAGATTTTTATTTCTTTTGTCATTAGCTGGGTCTGATTCCAATGATTAACTCTCTGGAGGATTTCAGCAGTAAAACAGATTTAGATGAGTACAGACGATATCAATGTGTCGATGTTGCCTATCAAGTGGTACCTCACACTATACCAGAAGTATGTGAGCGACTGATAGCCAGCATGTCTGCTCGGATCCACAATGGAGCTGTCCGTGAGTATTAGAGCCTCAGAGAGAGAAATTAACGTTATATGAGTTCTAAACACTAAAATGAAAGAAAAAGGCCATCTTATTTTTACTTCACTCTTGGGATGTGAGCATCACTGGCCAAGCCAGTAATTATTATCCATCCCTAATTTCCCAGAGAGGATTTAAGAGTCAACGACATTGCTATGGGTTTATAGTCACATGTAGGCCATACCAAGATGACAGATTTCCTTCCCTAAAATACATTATTTAGACTTAAAGATGGCCTTATTAGCATCTGGCATTAGTCTCGATAATTATACAAATGCCATTGGAGACTCTTTAATGTTTTCTTAGTTGACATTAGCAGCCTGGTTGTTGCACAAAAGGACCCAGTAACAACTTCATATTAATAACATATTTAATTCATGAACTGCAAAACCATGCCTATTTCTCAAAAATATTTTGTTTGACTACTGTGTAAATAGATTTAACTACCAATCTGGTGAAATTACACAGCACAATTTACAAATCAGAAATAACACTGATGAAAATTGTCAACATTTCACTGTATATTTATGAAACAACAATTTGGCTGATAAAACAAAATTCAGGATACACAGCACAACAAATAGATAAACTTGCAGGTCAGTGTAACATCAGCAGCAAGGCTCATGTTCCATGAGTGAATTAAAAAAAATAAAACTATACAGAGCGGTAGTTGTGAAGTTCAGTCCTGCTAAATTCACCAGACTATCACTGGTTAGAACAAATGAAGGGAGAAATTAGCAAGCATTCTCATTCCTGATCTCTATGCACCAGGCACTTACTATCTAATATCACGCATGAGAAAAATAACAGTGCAGACCTATCATAGTGCAAGTGACAGCCCTCTCCCATTTTGTAAGCATGATATGGTTGACCTGATTGGAGGTGGTGACGAGTAGGTTTTACCTTAACTCACCAAGTGGGAAACCCATGGAATTGCGCCAATTGTTGTCTTTGCACCTTGCCCTTGCATTGTTCCCCAATTCTGCATTGAGTTAAAAGTGACCCCAGTGCAACACTATAAAGTGTGAAAATTAGATAGGAGGAATTAATGAAGCCTATAACATTGTTAGGTGCTACGATTTGGTCCAAACCTTCTGACCACAGATGTAATGGAATTCATTTTTCCTGCTAACTGATTGGAGTTTCTTATGTATATTCCACAGCCTGTTGCTGTAATCCTCAGGGATCAATCAGTCGAATCTGCAGCAAGTTTGGTGGCCAATGCCAGTGTAAGCCTGGCGTGATTGGACGATGCTGTGACTCCTGTGCACCAGGATTTTATGGACTTGGTGCCAATAGCTGTTCATGTAAGTCAGTCAGTAGTGCAGGGTGGTTAGGAATAATTAGTAAAAGGCAAGTTTTATGAATATTTTTGAAGGTTCTACGGTGTATATAAATGTTCATTATTGAACCATATTATTATCCGGTAATTGTATAAGTGCAGAATATTCAGTTTTCAGACCATTTTCCTATTTTACTTTGTTTTAGTTCCATCATACACTAAAATTATTAAATATTAAACAGAATTTCCTCTAACAATCCAAAAACCTTTCAAACTGCAGGGATTTCCTGTGCTGACAAAGATCAGCTCTCAGCATAATGATGTTTTTATTGTTCTCCTTGTGTTATGATAAAGATTAACTTTTTCTGTTCCTTTTACTATCTGCCAAAAATGCTGGTAAATTTTCCTTAAGATATCAACTGTTTAGCAGCAGTTTTTGTGTAATTTCAGCAGAATGTAACTAACACTGCTTCCTGTCAAACTAAAAGATCCTTTGCACTAAGCACTTTTTTATATTTCCTTAAGTACACAGTCCAATTGCTATCAGGTACCACATACCTATTGTTTGGTGCATTTCACTTTCTGTTTATTCCCTATAGAATGTTACTTCCTATTTCCATAAAATTATTAGGATGATGCATTACATCTTTATAGTCCGATTCAGAGTATAAAACTGCAAATTGTTTGTTTCGAAAAATTATCTTGCTATCAATCTGTTTATACAAGAACACAGAGAAAGGAGCAGGAGTAGCTTGTATGTTCTGTCTAACCTGTTCCACCACTTCGTACAATCATTGCTGATCTTTTTGTTTCAACTCCACTTTTCCACCCATTCCACATGTTTCTTGAATCCCTGAGAGAGCAAAGATTTGTCCGTCCCAGTCTTAAACACTGTGAATGACCCAACCATACTGCTACTGTCAATTCCAATTCTTGATTTATAGCTGTAACAGCTTTTTGTAAATATGGGTCAGTAAATATGATTGCACAGATGCTTTTTAACTTGGAACAAAAACAAAGTTGCTGGAAAAGCTCAGCAGGTCTGGCAGCATCTGTGAAGGAGAAAACAGAGTTAACATTTCAGGTCCGGTGACCCTTCCTCAGAACTGATGGTGGCTGGGAAAATGTCAGTTTATATGCAGAAAATAGGGAGGTGAGTGGGGTTGGGAGTAAACGATAGGATAGAGCCCAAAGAGGGAGAAAGATAGTTGGACAGACAAAGGAGTTGCTAACGATCAGGCTGGGAGGGTGAATAGTTGTTAATGGGGACTGTTAGTGACTAACAACAGGGGGTGTGTAATGGCAGGCTATGTGGTAACAAGAGATAACAAGGTGTAGAGCTGGATGAACACAGCAGGCCAAGCAGCACCAGAGGAGCAGGAAAGCTGACGTTTCGGGCCTAGACCCTTCTTCAGAAATGGGGGAGGGGAAGGGGGTTCTGAAATAAATAGGGAGAGAGGTGGAGGCGGATAGAAGATGGATAGAGGAGAAGATAGGTGGAGAGGAGACAGACAGTTCAAAGAGGCGGGTATGGAGCCAGTAAAGGTGAGTGTAGGTGGGGAGTTAGGGAGGGGATAGGTCAGTCCAGGGAGGACGGACAGGTCAAGGGGGCGGAATGAGGCTCGTAGGTAGGAGATGGGGGTGGGGCTTGAGGTGGGAGGAGGGGATAGG